GACGGAGCGGCTTCAGTCTGTCGGGACAGTATCCTGCTCCCAAACTTTCACCAGCAACTCGTGTAAATCATTTACTAGAGCAGGTCCCCCGAATCTGAAGAGGGATGAGGGAATTCTATCTGACCCTGCAGCCTTATGCAATGTTAACAGCCTGATCTCACGTTCGACTTCTGCGCTTGAGGGCGAATCCAAGAAGAGAGCCAGAGGAGGAGCTCAATGCCCGAAAAAGGAAGCGATAACTCGGGTTGGTTAAATAGTCTTGCAAAGTGTTCGGCACAACGCTCCAAGCGTTTTGACAGGCTGTGGATCGGCTGCCCACTCTCGTCGCGTATGGTCTCGCCAACTCCATATCTCCTGCTGCCTGTTTCCCGCACCAGACGGAATAACTTATGATGATTACCAATGGCAGCGGTCGTTTCCATCTCTGACGCACGATGAGACCACCAGAATTCGCTGTCTCACTTCACGCTAGCACGCAATTTCCCGAGGAGATTTTTACGAGTCTCATTGTGTTCGTTTCCAGCCGGAATACGTCGGCGAGCATCTAAAAAATTCCAGAGACTGTGTAGAGGTCCAATGTCCATTTTGGCAATTTGATGTGCCACATGTAGATATGCCTGCTGATAGTAACGTTTGGCGAATATGTAACCAGTGATTTTCGACGGTGTTCAGTGGGTGCTTACTAGGCCCAGATGCTAGCGTACTTTGATACACATTCAGAACATCTGGCTTCGTCAGCTGGCTGAAGTCAATCCGTTCACATCGACGTCGCGGACGTTCACTGAAACTCACCCGAAGGTCGGCGTAATCAAGTGCGTGGTCAGAGTCTACGCTCGTCCTCCAAATAGAGCGACAGTTTTGGACACAGCCTCTCCAGCGGTAACGGATGGCGACACGATCGATTTGCGTCCATAGCTTGTGCGAGGCTGGTGGGCGCCCAGTCAATCTTCTGCGGTGTTGTGTCGAAAGTTTGTGCTCGCGAGAAAGAGACGAACATCCTCACACAGCTGTAGCAACCGCTCCCCGTTATCATTACGGGAGCCTACACCATGTTGGCCGCCCAGATTGAGCTCATCAGTGGACAATTTCCCGAGTTGGGCGTTTAGGTCGCCAGCTAACATCACAGTATCCGTGCTTCTTCTGTAACGAAGGAGATCGTTAACTTGGTGATAGAAATCATCCTTCACCGAATCAGTACTACAGATTGTAGAAGCGTAGGCCGCAATGACAAACAGGCACCGTTTGTCCCCGCGTGACTTCGAAGTATGGAACGAAGCAGCTAATATAACAGCGCACACCCAACTTTTGACTGGGATCTAATCGATCAGGACAGCTTCAGCCGGGGGATTCAAAACAATGCCGACGCCAGCGTGACCGGCATTTGAAGCTGCATCATCGCCAGACAGGCGCAGTGAGAATGTGCCACCAGTGTCACATGTGGGGGATCGCAGGGTAAGCACGGAGCTCGAAACTTGCAGGCGGGTTTCTGATAAACAGCAAATATCGATCGATAGTCTCTAGGGTGCGGGCAAGTGCTGCCTGCTGGCCAACCTGTAGCAAAGTGCGCATGTTCAGGCATGCCAGCCTTAGTGAGGATCGAGGATTCCAAAGGGAAACGGATGAACTGACATTACTCACTTGGTTGAACTTGGACTTGTCGACTGGATTGAAGCGATGCCCTGCGACTGTGTGTGAGTTGAAACTAGAAGATAAGCGACTATTGAAACAAGGTGAGAAAGAATCAAGAATGGGGGACTGAGAATGGTGGGATAAAAGTAAAGTTGGAGAGGGACGATAAGGGTGAAAAAGCGTAAGATGGTGAATAAAAGGAAGGGAAGGCCTGAGCAGTAGCATCCAAACCCTTATCCACTCTGTTCTATGCAGCAGATAGGGTGCTGTTGATTATCCTCTGTGACGGCCACAGCATCAAGAAATTGTTCAAAGAAAGGTTCATCGAAGTCAAGCTAAGTTGAATTCGCTGTTGAACATGGCGTGGTGTTGGTAGGGAGGAGGATATGAGCATTGGCTTGCATGTTCAGTACCGAAGAAACAAAAGGAAGAAATAAACAAATAAACAATTTATTTTCAAGGTACACGAGACAGGCCTAAACAGACAGGATCTGTTAAGTACAGAATTTTCGATGAAGGTAAAATTTTACCTGTTTATCTGCGGGTCAGATAATGTAGTGCTAAAGAATAGTGATAATGTGTGAGTGATCAGGTTCAGTGAAACCTGCTTGGAATAGGCGGAAAAAATGGAGTTAAGTGGAATAGGAGCAGAAGGATTGTACGATCAAGAATTCGCTTGAAAAACAGAACTGAATTGTAATCAGCGAAGAAATTTCCTCTCGATACTTCTCTTCAGGTTAATACATGTATAAAAAGTAGTTAAAATTGCGACAGGCTAAGATAGCTGGGCTAGGGTTCATTCAGTCTAAACAGGTTGCTTTAGCTATTGATCAAATTCCCCGATCGATGAAGATAATCAAGCATATGGGGTCACGGGGTCATCGCCTAAGATCGAAGTAAGCGGCGCTCAAGGTGAGACCAGAATCAGGGCAAATGTAGCGTCTGTATTAGGGCACTCTGTTTGCACAGTTCCGGTTGCATTAGCCGGATCGCAATAGCCTAGGTTGTCATTAGTAGAAAACTGAACTGCCCACAAGCAACTGGGCGTCATAGCAACACGTTCGTCGAGTGGATTGGTGTCTCGATTACGAAGAAACATGCGGGGGAGCAGAATCGTCATCTGAATGGTTGGCTAAATTGTTGCATGGTGAAACCGTGTCCGAATCGGAGCTCTGTCATAGTAAAAGATTGATGATCTTTCTGAAGATGCAAGATAGTTGGCCATCCAGATAAGTGAAGGTTTCAACCCGAGAGAATGTAGATTGCAAGGTGTGATACCCGATTGTAGACGGAAGATTTTGCATAGTACCATAGTACCCGGAATGAAAAGATCCCAGCCCAATCGTTCGGGCTACAAAGAAGGATAATGGTTCCGCTTAAGCTAACAGCGGTAATCCTTCGGGTACGAAAAGTGGTAGTATTGACGGGAAAGTTTGACATATATTGCCAATTGAAAGATCCAACAAGCAAGATTGAAAATGGCAAGTGTTTATTCGCCGAATACATGCAGAAATCTTGTGTTAATGATATTGAATTAATTCCAAGTAAGTTGTATGTGAGTGTTCTTGTTGTAAGAAAAGGCTAACCCATTTGTTCAGGTCTCAAGCAGGAAAAGTGGCTATCCAAGATGGCAATACTGTAATCATTCCGATACATAAGTTCTATTAATAGCAGGATAATCTGCTGTTCATAGGAAGGTGAAAGATCTGCGTGCTTCGAAAAAGAGACTGTTTGGTTCGCTGGCGAAAGTTGATACCGAACTAACCGATGCCAAAGGAGTCTTTTGGTGTGCAAGCACAGCATCTCGTCAAGCAGCTCGGAAAGAAGTCTCCAGATATTGTCACAGCCATAAGACGTGACAACACGAATTCATCACATCATGAATAGTTTGAGACAGGGCTGACAGGTCGCGAAATGACGGAAGGAGTTGTAGCTCGCCAACACTCCTAAGTTAATTCATTTGCGCTTACAATAGATAAGGAGTATAGGTGGGGTGTGGAAAGATCCTGAGTAAGTGCAAGCCTCTTGTGTCCGTTGGTTACCACAGCGACGAGCAAATCAGGAAACCGATGTCAGTCACGAAGTGATAGGTGTCCTGGTATCACAGTCTAATGACCGTGTTACGGAAAAGCTGAGCAAATAAAAGGACATCCAAATTACTTAGCGCCTCACATACCAAAAGCAAGAAAAGTGAACAGTAACAGTTGTTTTTCTAGAGTTTAATTGACTTTACAGCTTGTGGTTTGCTGATTCACTGTTAAAGTGCCTACAATGCGATGCGAAAGCCAACGTTTAAAAGGCGTCAGATTGCTGAGCATGTATAATCAAGTCAGCAGATAGTTGACCGTACTCACTCGGTATATTAGCAACCATCATCCAGATAGGTGGCAGTGCAACGAAGTAATGCGCCATTTGGAGTTTAGACGGCGCACTAAATCGATGGATTTTAAATCAGAATAAGGCGATATATAGGAAAGGAATGTCTCTTTTACTCAGCGAAGCACTTATCGAAGTTTTATCAAACTATGCAGATACTGGTATACGAGTGGAGGAAGAGTGAGGTACAAACAGACATGTAGAGAATTTTTTACAGCAAAGAGATCCAGCATAATCGCACCTCCAGATGATGCTGTACTTGAAGGGACGTACTGGACACGTTGGCACGAAGGGGGAAGGAAACATCTGTACCAAATTACCTACGGAATGGCGATCGGCAGAAGTATCAAACTGATCAAGCTTTTTTCCGAAACAACCGATTAATCATAAGCAATGTACAAAGCGCAATCTGAGACGAAACCTATAAAAGCAGTCGATTCATGTTTCCGCAAGTCAGAATTAGACACCTACTGTAATAACTTTGGATCATAATTCGTGTTAGACAGTGAAGACAGCATAGAACATGTGGCAAATTATGCCCCTATCAAAGTAGAAACGCAGGCACAAATGAAGAAGAAATGCAGCGAGCAAAAGCAATTAAATACAACAGACAATCAAGTGTGTAAAAAGGTGAGATCTTAGTCAAGAACGCATTAAATGTAAACAGAAAATTCAGATTTTCGATGAACATCTGGGGTAAAAGATAGTGGTAGTTCTGGCTGTCTTAGCAGCTAAAACCCAAGCGCGATGCAAATTTTGCTCCGCAGCACCTTGTTGTAAGTGAGGGTAACTTTGACGCCAGTGTATGCGGAGAGATAGGCCCGCAAGTTATGAAACAACAGGGGGCACAAGACTGGTGTCACTAATTTGAAGCGAAACCCAGAGAATAGGGAAACAGATGTAAACCATCAAGGCGTTGGCTATAGTGTGCTCAAAAAAAGCAAGGTAGAACAGTGAATGTAACTCGAAGTACCCAGGGTGAGAAGGTCACTTACCTGTGTGCCACTCAAATTCCACCGACCACATTCTGACGCACGTCATGTCACTGCGGCAGGCTTCCCACCACATGTGGCAGTCCTGAGCACATAGTGGGACGGCGAAAGGCCGTTCTATGCCAATTTTTCTATTCGTTTTCACCATCCATGGCCCATGATCAGAGGAGCATTCGTAAGAGCATAGATCACGTTTGAAAAATTCAAGACATTCCGCAGAAATATTTGCACAGTGCGAGTGACTGAAATTGTATAGTGTGCCAGTGTCGATTCGTTGAGCCGTTGCTGCAGAACAGCACGATGATTCAGACCAATCTTTACACTGTAAAGTTTGCAGGGATTTTAGAAAGTGGGACTCACGACACCAGTAATAAGAGCCTCACGAGAAGGAACGTTTTTGTTTAAATTGCCTTGTGGGCACATGCCAACATATTCTTCAACCGTTCTGATGCTGTTAAGCCTATTTTCAAAACTGGAAACATTGAGGGGCAAGTGCGCGGCAAACAACGAAAACAAGAACCGTAGGAGGAGGTGTTTCAGTTGACACATTCCAGCTTCTCTAAGAAGTACTTCTGGAAGAGGATATTCGATGACCAAAATAGAAACCAAGATCAAAACAGGTGCGGTAAACCGCGCCCATGGGTTAAAAGCAGGAAAAACACTTCAAGAAAAAATGAATTTTATAGAACACGTCTGTGAAGACAGGTTCTATCTAGAGCTAATCAGCGTTCCAGAGTTGGAAGGTTGAGTAAAAACGGAGCTCACTTCGTACCAAGGATGGCATGATAATTCGCTATCAAAAATTGCATTTAGTGGCGCTTCAGGAACTAAGATGAGCATTAAAATCATCACGGATCTGCAAAAGTCTTCTCATCGTTCGAAAGACAATGAAAATAAGTGAATGGATGCAATTTGTGCTCATTTGATAGCTACCATTCAGGAGATTCCGACATCTTTACGACAATGAAGCATTTGGGCTTCCTGTACAGGGGTTCTGATACCGCGAGGCCAGTAGCACTATTATATATATATATATATATATATATATATATATATATATATATATATATATATATATATTGAACAATAGCCCAACGATTAGCAGTATGCCTCAACATATGGCTAAATAGAGTACAAAAACAATGAAGGATGAAGAGGAAATGTGTAAAAACGTAATTATGGGGGTAAAGTCGCACATGTTTGCCTTAGTGCACGGGTCCTTGCCATGTTCAAGAGGGTTTTCAGTCATATGTGCTGGTGATCCTTGCGTCCATAACCAGGGAGCCGAGAGTGCCAGACCGCGGCCAAACTTGAGATCAGCGTCCTCATATTCTTGGCTCAAGTCATTCATTGGCCACCATTTTTTCACTTACAGCTAACTTCTGCGCGCGCGAAAAGTGCACGGCGAGGTAAACGCTTAGTGCGCATGAGGAGCCAGTCCAAGCCACCGAAGCCTGTCTAGAAAAATTAGGCGGTTCAGCGACCGGCAAAATCTATCTGGTCTAAAAATCCTTCAACCTCGCACAATAACTGCTTTTTCTGTATCTAACAGGGTTCGTTTGGATAAATTCTTAATCCATGCGTCTTCTTCGTTTGCTGGTTTTGGTAGCGAGATTCTATCCAACTTCCTTTTTAGCTTCTGCTTTGTTTGCAATTTGGTCTTATGGGTACTAATGGCAATCGCTTTCTCAAGCTCTCTGGGTAACTGTTCCCCGAGGTTGGACAAGCAAATGGCCTTCTGTTGGTCGATTACTCGTTGATATTTTTGCCATCCGTTGTGTGCTCGAGAGAAAACATGCTTCTGGGTCACTAGAAACAAACGTTTACCGGAAAGCGATTCACACCCACCAGATGTTAAACTATCGTAGTAACCATCCGACCATATACAAGCGAAGTTGCGTGAGCACGCTTTTCAAACGGGCTCAGACACACTGTAGCACACAGCAACTGAGAAAGGTTGAGGAAGACCATCTATTAGCATGTTTAAGCGAAATTCATACCCTAGAAGCTTTATTCTACGCTGCCTGATGTTGAAGAGCCAGTCACAACCCGCGTCCACATGTGTAACAGAAAGAAGAACGATTATCCTACATTACATCCATGAGATTTCTGAAATGGCAGCGAGGCTTCCAATGCTTCACGGGATAAACGTTGCACACGAAGCAACGGAAACCATTCGAAGTAAACGCTTTCAGGTAAAGGACAAAGTGTCTAAGAAACAAACATCAGGTGTAGTTTACAAAATTTCCTGCAAGAACTGTGACAAGTGCTATGTAGGCCAGACTGGAAGAAAACTTGGCACAAGACTGCAAGAACATAGTCTGGTCATCCGCCGCCACGATGAGAAATCCTTAATGTCAGTACACATGGATGCCGGGGACCATGCGTTCGATCTGGAGAACGTCGAAATACTTGGAAGAGCGAGAAACCGCAGAGTGCGTGAGTTCCTCGAGGCGTGGCATTCTGGCCGGAACTCAATCAACAAACACCTGTAGCTGGAGGTGTCTGCGAAGCTCTGCAGGTTAAGATAGCAATAGGCACCAGATCGACAAGGAGAAGACGTGCTCACGTGAACCGATCGAAGGTTGGCATTCGAAGCAGGTAACAATCAATAGTCATTCGGATCTGGCGTTGGTTTGCGAGACTCCGCAAATCAGGACTGAATAGCCGCACTGAAGATGTTGCCTAGTTTGGTAACGAAACGTCTGCAACAGAAATGCCCGGCTCGGAGAACAGGACAATTTACTCATCAGAGTTATGTCTCCAGGATCTTCAAGGTTTGTCAGTCGGTCACCCGTCAGAGCTTCCACTCGAGAAGTCTGTAAAAACGATTATGATCAACGTCATAACGAAGTTGAAGAGGAAATAATTAAGGACAATTCTAGCCACTAACACCGACTGAATAGTTAAGTGAAATGCTTTTTACTTTAGGTTTCAGGAGATTCTTGTAAACTGGTGAGGCTGGAGTAGAGTAAAGCACAAAATGACGATGAATCACTGGTTGTTGGCTTGCCCGCTTCCATTAATATTAGACAATAACGGCCCTACGACTATCCTGTTTGCGGGGGCAAACACCTCAAAATCATGTTTTACTATGTACCCGGGGGCCACGGTGTCTATCTGTTTCTGATGCACATGGTCGGTACACTTCGAATAGCACCACTGCGTTGCTGCCAGTTCTAATAGTATCCTACAGCTATCCGGGTACATCGGTGTCTGGGTAGCTGTATCTAGACACTCTGTATCCAATACTGTCCAAATAAAGTATCCTTGCGCCATGCTACGAATGCCACTACAATAAGAGGGGTTGAAGGACTTAACACAAATCGATGGATAACATCGAAGTACCTGTTGTGTGATTGGGTTCCGACGCGTAACCTAGATAGGAACCTTGATTCGCATTGAAGTGAACCATGGTCCATCCGATCATCCAACTGTGGCCTGTAGTAACCCGGTGGTTAAAAAGTGTAGGGTATCAAGTAACATCCTAATGGCCGCGGGTTCGAGCCTTGCTATCTTGCGATGTCCGTAACTAACGGACTCTAAGTAAGCCGAAAATATGCTCGGTGGTCTGGTACAGAGGCCATTAGCAGAGCCATTTAGTGATGTAAACTAAATAACAAGTAATAAATGCTTGTGTAATATTCCTCCGGTCCTGCCTTCGAAGCTGGTGTCAAAGTAGTGCGACAAGCTGCAATGCTTGGATGCTTAACCGCCTAGTAAGAGGCCGACCTAAAGCCGGCAGCTAAGGAAGCACGGAAGAGGGAAGGGAAAGTGAAGGAGTGGAATAGGAGGGTAAGGATAACAAGAAGCAAAACCGATCGACCTCTTATCTGTTAACGTGTTACCGTGACGCCCGCGGACCGGCTACACTTGCATCTAAACTCGCGTATGGCTATGGTCATAGATATTTATTAGAATATTTGTTCAATGCTAAATTTCATTTATTAGGAACATATTTAGCTCATGTTATTACCGGACCATCGAACGCGGCACGAGCGATCAATAGGATTTTGACAGTGTAGCTATGCTACAGCCACCAGCCGGTAATAGACGACGCTATGGCAGATGTACGGGAGGTTTTTCAGACAAATTATAAGCGGCGTGGCAAGGTCTTGCACAGCGTAGTAGCAGTGTGCAGGGTCGCCAACCCGGCGGCCGGGGTTCGTATCCTAGATGCGCTGGTTTTGTACTCGCTCTGGTGTCCCCTACAGACAAGACTTGTTAGGACATAGTAGTTGCAATGGTCACTGCGCAAGCATAACAAAATCTAAGACCTTAAAGTTGTTCTACGCATTGCAGCGCCAAAAAAGATAACTCTTATCTTTCATGTACAATTTACTTGTTGACCGATTGTACATTATTCCTTCTTGTTTTAATCGTCCTTACAACCGGCTCGACACAACTGCCTTGTAAGTTCCCGCGCTCACGTGTACGCTATCGCTTCGCTTCATCCGTCCGCTTCTTATTGTAGCCCATCAAATACAATCCGCTGTGTCCGACTCCCATTGCCTTCTGATATCCGCGCTTACATTCACGCACCGTCTCGGACTAGTATTAACTAGTCCTATAAATTGGTGACCCCTATTCGCACGCGCGAATTCAACTTTTTTCTCGTTTGTAGATTTGGGTGAGTTCGTTCCTTTTTCTCGATTATATACCTGTATTCATTGGCTACTTGCGTAATTTTGGTACTTTTATCGCATTTTGTTCATTCTTTATCTCTCGACTCACATTTCGAGAGTGACGTCTGAGTCGTTTCACCGCGTAACCATGTTTACTTTGGTTGTTCCAAGTTTCATGGAACACAGTCCAGAAGTTTGGTTTAAGATATTCGAGACCGAACTAGAAAATAAGGGCAGTACGGCAGACCGTCCGAGGTACAATCAGCTCGTCCCACGCCTTCCTTCGTCGGTTGTGACGCTGATTGAGGACATTCTACTCTGCCCATCGAATGAGGTAAAGTATGAAACGATGAAGCAAGCGATTTTAAAAGAGTTACGGCCCAGCGCACGAACTCGGTTTGAGCAGCTCAATGGTCTCAAGCTTGGAGATCGCAAGCCGTCGGCGTTGCTCCGCGAACTTCAGCGCATCGCTGGTCCCTTATTCTTGAGCGAAGAAGGGATAAAGGAGCTGTGGTTTGCACGTCTCCCAGAGCCATTGCCGGTAATGCTGTCCATGTTTATAGATACACCCCTGAAAGAATTAGCTACTAAGGCAGACGCTGCGTTTGAACGTCTTCCGCAGCAGACGACCAGTAGCTCCGGTGACGTATTCTCACCGATGAAAACCGAATCTCATGTTTGCTCCCAGTCGTTAGGCCGATCTGACTCTAAAGACGAGAAAATTGCGCTACTTCGCAGCAGGATAGCAGCAATGAAGGCTTCGAAGCAGCGTGTGCCACGGTCAAATGCTGACCACGTTTTGGCTACCGTTCATTGCGGCTCGTCTGTGCCTGCACCGAGTACGTCACGTTCGGCACGAAAGCGCAACATTTTCCTTACAAGTTCTCAGTCAGATAATGTCAAACCGTCGAAGAAGTATGTTGGTATCACCGCCAATACGGTGAAGA